TTTAGTTCAAAATTTAGTCTATTACGCAAATGGTCAATTAGCCGGTCATTTTGAGTCATGCAATCGTGTATCTTCTATCGATCCGCGTCGTTGAACAATGATAAAATTTGTCATATGAAATTAATAGTGAATAGTTTGTGGGAAAACTGTGGGTCTACGGAGCGGGAACTTTTCGGATTTGAACTCAGCGTGTTCGAAGTGTTATAGACAAGTGAATTCCCGTACAAATATTTCAGTTTCGCAAGACACGCTAAATGAAAATCGTAGGCACTTTTCGAGTTCACATGCCCCCCCCCCCCCCCCCCCAAGTTTGTTGGGCAAACAAAGCCAGTCGGGCAATATTCGCTTCACAGTCGGGCAATATTGGCTTATTATAAAAATAAATGGGACAAATTCTGTCAATTTTGTGGGAAATACACTATCTAATAGGAATTTTTCGTAATCACTACTTCCCCCCCCCCCGTCCACAACAATTTCGGAAAGTTTCTCCGGAAATTTTTTTTTGACAACTCGGGCACAATCCGAAAAAGTCGGGCAAATTTCTTTCCGCCCCCTTAATTTTGTCCTTCCCGTACGCCTATGAGTGTTAGGCCGCTTGAATCAATTACCGGCCCAATGAGAAAATAGATTCTTCATGTGACGTTGAACAAAATGTAGGAAAATGCATGTTGTTGTTGAGTAGTTTTCCCAACGGGTGCGGTGAAAATGCTAGTTGAGCTGGCCGCCACGCGAGGCGGTTAGCTCATTTCAGCAAGTTTCTCAACCTCGGCACAGAATACTACACAGAAGTCCATCTCCATTGTTTTTAGCGTAAGCTCTGTTCGTCATGATTCGTCACTCAGCAAGTACCGTAAACAGAAGCAGTCACCCCCCTAGACATACGCCATTTTTAGTATTTCCAGGAGGGGGACTGCTTCTGTTTACGGTACTTGCTGAGTGACGAATCATGACGAATAGAGCTTACGCTAAAAACAATGTAGATGGACTTCTGTGTAGTATTCTGTGACCTCGGTCCCAGGGTCTTCCTGGGAACGAGGTTGCAAGTTTCTTTCGTGTGCGGCAGGCTTTACTTAGTCACTGAGCGACTTGATCGTTTCTAATACGCAACATTTGATATAAGCAGCAATGGAATTAAGCATGGAAGAAAAACCTGCATCGTATTACGCTGATGCAGTGAAAAACAATATTCTGAAGTCCGCAAATGCTCCAGAAGCAATGTTTTGGGAGAACGAAGAATCTGCAATATATATAGCCGACCCACAGTATAATAGATCTCGGGGCAAGCGAAAACGCGGATAGAGAGCCGTACGACCCGTAGAATTTTTACTTGTACTAAATTTTCAAGTGCTCTAACTGCCCAAGATCGGGCACAAAATTTCCCAACTGCATGAGTGTCAGTTTACAGTCGTAAAAACATAGAGGATTAAAGCACACGTGCGTTGAAATATTATTTATGCATGGCTATACAACTTACAAGCTAGGCCTATATTTGTTTGTTTTGTTTTGTCATTTTGATTTTTGATTAAAGATGCGGTACAGTCCGATCTGCGCATGTGCACAAAGGAGCCCTCTTTTTATTATACAAACAGTTTATTTAGGTTTTTATTTCATTTTATGTTCCTGCAAAGCTTGATTGTTGTGTCCTGATAATTTATTATACTCTAGAATCATGAAAATATAAATAGTTGTTGAATAAAATTCTGTATTTTGGATACCGAAATGTAAACAAAGCCTTTGTTTACGTACGGACTGTATACCGCATCTTTAAGCAAAAGGGTTATTATTTAACTCTATAAACTCCTGATAACTGATCTGACGAAGGACCTTCGCGTCTAGAGACATTTGTCACATTTTCAGTATTCTGTTCAAACCTTGCACTCAACCGGTATTATAAAGTTATAGGTCTCTCAAATAACAGTGTTAGGTTTGATTTCTATTTTCGGGCAAAAATATTGGAAAAAAGCAAGATATAGCGTATAACACACAACATAATCGACCCCCGCGCCCCCGTTGCTTGCCTACGACCAGCCCTGCCTACGACCCAATTAACCTTTTTCAGGGTGATAATATTTTTACAGGAAATGCTCCGCTCACAATAATTTTCAGGGAGGTTCTGCATATATATGATGTACATGCATAAAATGCCTAATATTATTAAACAGAAGAGATTACCTCTTACAGAAAAATGAAAGTAAAAGTATGCAATAAAAGTTAATCAATTAAACATTTCTTTGAAGTCAATTAAACTACTTGACGTCGACTGCCGAATGTTAATTTCCAAATCATTCCAATGTTTCAAATTAGGCAAACCAAATTTTTGTTGCCGAAGACAACAATAATTTTAGATTTTATCCCAATTCTTCGTAAATTCAATGTTCATTTACTTAATTAGCTAAACTAATTGACGACAAAACATTGTCTATGCAAGAGATTATATATAATGAAGTTATTCTGTGGCTGGAGCCTGATTATCGCTCCCTTCCTCGGAACCTTGAGCTCCATCTTCTTTCTGCGTGTGTAATACCTCAAGAATATCCATGATCAAATTTCGAACGAAACACAAGAAGAACTTCAAGTCGTCAGGAATCGGCCTCGCTTTTTTTCTGTTTTCATTCAACGCCGAAAATTTGGACGGCACTTCCCTGAGTGAGACATGATTGTTGATATCCGTCTTGGAGATGTTAGAGATATCTTGAATAAAGCCAATCAACTTCTTGATGGAGTCCGGGGCAAGGTCGATCAACTCATCACCACTCTTGATAACTCCCTTGAAACCAGACTCCATGTCTTGCATCGCCTTCGGTTCAAAACCTTCAATTTTTTCAATTTCAATGCGATTTCCATTGACTGAGATCTTGATATGAACATTACCTTTGTAAATGGATTTACATGTTAATTAACGCATGATAAATAAAGCGATTCTCTATATACCAACACTGAACCATATGATCCCGACCCTTATCCTGAAAATAAACCTCGCCCTAATCTGAACTTTGTGTAAATAATCCTAATCCCGATCCAAGCCTAACCTGAACATATAGTGTTCCTGGTTAGATCGAATAAATGTATGAAAATTCCACTCGAAACTTCCATTTACAAATAACTAATGAACTTTCTACATCTCCAACGTTTACTATTTCGTCAATGGATTACGCGTCAATGGCTTTCGCTCATAAACTAAACTATTAAAATTAAATTGATCCATTGACTCATTCTAAAACCATGTTATTCAAAAAGTAGTCACAGGGAAAAGGATCCCTACGACACCTTTTTAAATAACATCAATATATTAATAGCCTTATGTCAAAATTGCGTTGCAAGCTGCATGCAGTAAAAATTGCCACGTGTAACATGGCCTTTGTCCCAACCCAAACCTGGGAACACACCCACCTTTCTTGAGACGTTTTTTGAGTTCTTCCAAATAATCATCGAACGCTTTTGAGGGATCATCGTGAAATTCACTGACAGCTTTTATTGCTTGCTCCAGACGTTTTCTAGCGTCGAATGCATCTTTGCTTAATCTTATCACCGGGTTTACCACGTCGGCAATATCGTTGAAAATTCGATCTATTGTAGGGATTCCAAGTGACGTGAACTTGATTTCCTTTGGCGGTTCTGGGTCTAGCACGTTCTTCATTTCATCATCCATTTTCTCCGTGTTCTTGTCCGCTGTTTCCTTCCGCTGCGTCAATTCCTCCTTGTTCTTCTCATCACCAAGCACCTCGATCACATCCATCACAATGCTAGTAGCGTACTCGAAGAAAGAATTTACAATTTTCGGTGCTTTTTTCATTTCTTTCATATTCTTGCGGACGGTTGTTATTTGTTTCGGTATCTTGCACAAATCAATTACACTCCCTCCGACTTCTTGACCCGTTATCTCGCTCATATTCAATTCCATGACATCTTTTGAACAATCAATGATCTTCCTGGTTACTTTAACCGGTAGTTTCTCCAAATCGTTGTACGCCTTGAAGATACTAACCAATGCATTTGCCGCGTCTTTAACAGATTCGTCCCCCTTCTGGACTGCCTTTGGAAATCTTAGAGCCAGCTTCTTAATAACAACACGTTGGCCTTTTAATTGCTGCTTGAATTCCTCCAGACACACACGAAACTCCCCTGTTGTCTTGACTGCTGTTTTAAATTTCTCCACTGCGGATTGCATATCAGTCTGGCAGATGTAGAACACATTAAACGTACCTTGAAACTGTTTGAAGATTTCATCAACTTTCTCCAGACCAAGATCTTCCATCTCAATTTTTTCAACCTTGCTCTCGTTTTTCTTCGTTTCGTTTTTGGGCTTAATGGAAAGACAAAACATAAAATGCGCTATTAGTTTTCTAAAATATATTTCCATCACGTTTTTGGATAAGAGGTACGTGGACGAGGGAAAATACCCTCAGTCTCAGATGAGCTCTTGTGAGTGCATGAAGTACCCTTATATCAAGGGGCGAGTATTTTATAAGAAGGGGAATTACAATTTAAAATTAGAAGTTCAGGTCATGCATGTATACGACATGAGAAGATCAGAAGGCGCCAATATGGCTGCCGTTGTAAATAATCGCTTGATCGTAAATTTGATATTTTTATCTTTGTTATTGTGTTTTTTAATGATTGAAACGTTTAAAAAGGTTTATAAGACCTCAGTTATCTTAGATCCTGAAGGATTGAAAAAGGATGGTTTATTTTCAAGATTATGGGACCGTGTTTGTGTTCGGTGCTTTGTCGATATTCGCCGAACGAAATATTCATCGAAAGGTAAAATCTCTTTTGCGATTACTAAATCCGTTAAACATGG